GGGGGTGGGAAATTGGTTCACCCCCCCATAGTTGCGCCACTGCTGGTATCCACCTGCATACGTAGAATACTGAAGCTAACCCAAAATCTCTTTAAAGGGAATGTAAAGGAAAAATGAAAGGGGGTAAAGAATGAAACTTGAGAATCTCAGGCATTGAACGATACATATAAGACATCTATCTGATGTTCCTGTCTCGAGAAATTGATATAAAACTGTGTCAAATTTTTACGAAAATTCATATATATGCAATTTTGCATAAAAGTTGTAGTATTAAACAGATAATATTTAACAAATACGCAACCAATCTGAAAACAACGATATCCCACAGGAGCCTGAAAAGCTCAGGTTTTATCCTATTATAATTTTTTAGTTTTTATTTAGCATTTTTAATAGATATAATTGATAACATAATTACATACATTCCGTATTGTCCGTAATATTACGTGACCAGAACTTCAGCCAATGACAGTAGTATATTGGTAACTTGATGTCCGTCTGTATCACGTGACACTGATACTGCACTGCTAGTGGCGCCAATTTTTGACATCCTTTATGTTTGATTATTCTTTTACTCTGTTTCATCTTTTTGTCTTTTCTTAGTAAAATCATCTTTGCTTTCTTCGATTCTTTTGCAAATACAGCATGTGTTAGAATTAATACACTTATATTCTGCTGATAAAAATCTTCAGTTAAATTCTGTTTAAAATTCGAAATAAGATTGATATTTAAAAGCATAAAAAAGTAACGTTTATTTTCATACAATATTTTAGGGAAATTGTGAGGGGGGAGCAGTCCTATGTTAAAAGATTTTACTTTATTTCTGGTTCCAAGATTTGCGATTTTGATATTTTTTGAAAATCTGAAATTTGGAAATAGTTTATTTTTCCGGATGGTTCCATGAACAATAGTCAAAACGCACGGTTAACATAAATATTTTTATGCCAATTAAATGTTCGACAATATTTATTAAATTGCTCACGGGCAACGCCAGGTTTTAAATAAAGTAAAACTTCATTTCTTCTAACAATATTTGCCCAAAATCAGGTTTAAAATCAATTTGGATTTAAACAATACCTTCTTTCATTTTACACGCACATTATATTTCTATATAATAAAGCTCTTCGCTTATTTTACATTTACATACATACTTGTACATATATATGTTAGCTATAGGTGGCCAAACGGCTGAACCAAACTGGCTAAAATTATTTAAGGGAACCCTTGAGTAACATAGGCTAAAAACAATCTTTCCTTCTTCAAAATTCTATTTTATTTTCGAATTTTCTGAAGTTTTGGCCAACGACAGGTACATTCAGCTCCTTCAGCTAGTTATACATTATTATTCAAACTTATCATTACACTTTTCAGACAGAGCAATCAAAGTTTATTAGATTAAAAGATTGTAAATATTCTTTTTAATTTTTATTTAAATTTTTGTTTCCGACAAATGAGGGGTTATTTCCCGCAGCCCCCGAGGAATGTTGAGGCCAACTGTGAGACTCCGTATCCTGCTGCAGCTCCAGCTATAAAGTTTCCGTCCACGATTCTAGAAAAAATATTTTTAAAGGGACTTATAGCGTAATTTCTAGTGAACCTTCATTTAAAGATGGCAATGCTCTATTCGCAACGATGACTTTTTCTGATCCATTATGAATTAGATATGAAAGTTTATAATTTGAAAAACTGAGTATTTTTTATTGCGATTTCGCTACAAAAAGTGACTTGCACATTTCCACTGCTTAAAAACATGTATAGTAATTATCAGAATTAAATACATTTAAACCTAGAAAAACGACAGCATCTTTTACATTTTTATTATTATTGGGTATCATGCATTGCCATCTTTGCATGGTGGGTAACTGCAAAGCGTATTTTTAAAGCTCCAAGGTTTAAAGAGTTTTTGCAAAATTATGATCAATTTTTGAAATATTTTGAAGGAACTTAAGATATTTTGTCTTGCTTTTAATATTACATCAAACTAACCTGTTTTGGTTTCTGTTCCTGCAGGGATTAAAGATTTGGTTCTGGAAGAAGGATGCTAGCCCGCCGACCAGAGCACCAGCCCCAGCACTGTTCAAGGCGGGGTTGTTTGTGAAGAATCGTGTGTTAGAATTGTTGCCATTTCCCTACATCAAACAAATTGTATATTATTTGTAGAATCATAATTTTTTACTTATTTGAAAATACACGACATCAGCATCAGTTGTTGAGAACTAGGAACCCAATTTTGGCAAACTAACTCACTATTAAAAGTAAACTCATCTAGAAAGAAGGAGAATGTAAAATTTAGGCAACATTATTTTAGATTTTATGCACAAATTTGAGAAAAGCTAAAAAATTTATTCTCTGCCACAACCTTAAATTTTCTAGTCCCTATATCTTTATGGCAAAGACTGAATTCCTTTATCCGGTCCGGTTACATAATCACATTATAGAAATTAAAAAAATTTGTGCTTCTCATAAGGTCTTCAATAAGAGGAGTTTTAATAAAAAATAAGATTTCAATCTGAAGTGTAGTTAATTTAGTTTGACTTTAAAGATGTTCGTGAGAATTAACATAATTATTTTCGTAAAACTTAACATCGAGCTTCAGCCAAATAAAATGAATAGGCGTACTTAAGATATCTATTTGTAACAATCTAGTTAGATCTAGTTAATACCAGTTTAGATTTAGTTTAGATTCCAGAGACAGAGTTTTATCTTTGTTGTAAACTTTCATAAATTTGAATAGATTTTGCTAGAAGTGTGCTGGTCATTTTATTAAAAAGTATCAATCAATGAGAAACAAGTGTGAAATGTGTGCTTCTACTTTCAAAATCAAAGTAATATGTCATTTGTTTATTTTCAAAAATCTTTTTTTCAATTGATTTTGGGGATCACTGTATAGTGTATATATTTTCCGGTGCTTAGGATCAATTTAATTTTGATGCGGATCCGGATTAAGGAACCCAAATACTTGCGGATCCAACTGATCCAGATCTGGGTCCAGATACTTCACACTGAATTATTTTTCCTAACTGACCTGAGGTGACCTTTGAACTCTGAAGAGGAGAGGAGAGGAGTCCCTCGTACTGGAGTTGACCGCCACAAACAGACAGAGCAGGGTCACAACGAGAAATCCGGATATCTTCATACCTAGAAACAAGTAACTGTAGAATTTCACGCAAAGAAGTCCTTGTCACAAACTCTGATTTTCTATATCGGTGACCTTCCAAGTTCTAACTTGAAACCTTAATCTGATCAAAAACTTTTTTTTTCTTGGCTCAAAATGTGTTTATTTTTTTTGAATTTATCTGATGTTTTTTTATGAGCAAAATATGCGCTAGTCACTTTTGCAGAGAAACCACAAATAAAAATAAATAGTTTTAATAAAAACATGGATATCTCATTCATACTTGATCAGACAAAACTTTTTAAGGTACCGTTGTGAATCGGACATTGCTATCTTTGAATGGAGGGTCATTTGAAATTTCGCTTATAGTCAATTCACAGACAATATGTACAGAGGTCTCCAGAAAATATTTGATAATAGTTGTGACAAAGGAATTGAGTCTTTGCCACAAACTCTGATTTTCTAATTCATTTATCCTTGCAACCCATTGTCATGAATCTTAGATATTTCAAACTATGAATTCTGTTAGATCAAATAATCTAAGTTTAAAATATAAAAGGTCATCACTTTCAGGTAGCAAAGACTTAATTCAATTAATTCATTCTTAAAGACATGTCTAAACATTTTTTGTATCTACCTGTCAACCAATATGCTTGTATCTACCTATCACCCAATATGCTTGTATCTACCTATTAACCAATATGCTTGTATCTACATATCAACCAATATGCTTGCATCTACCTATCACACAATATGCGTGTATCTACCTACCAACCAATATGCTTGTATCTAACTATCACCCAATATGCTTGTATCTACCTATCAACCAATATGCTTGGATCTACCTACCAACCAATATGCTTGTATCTAATCACCCAATATTCTTGAATCTACCTGTCAACCAATATGATTGTATCCTTCTGTCAACCAGTATGCTTGTATCTACCTATCACCCAATATGTGTGTATCTACCTGTCAACCAATATGCTTGTATCTACCTATCAACCAATATGCTTGTATCTACCTGTCAACCAATACGCTTGTATCTACCTATCACCCAATATGTGTGTATCTACCTGTCAACCAATATGCTTGTATCTACCTATCAACCAATATCCGTGTATCTACCTGTCAACCAATATGCTTGTATCTACCTGTCAACCAATATGCTTGTATCTACCTGTCACCCAATATGTGTGTATCTACCTGGCAACCAATATGTTTGTATCTACCTATCAACCAATATGCATGTATCTACCTGTCAACCAATATGCTTGTATCTACCTGTCAACCAATATGCTTGTATCCTTCTATCAACCAAAATGCTGGTATCTACCTGTCAACCAATATGCGTGTATCTACCTGTCAACCAATATGCTTGGATCTACTTGTCCACCAATATGCTTGTATCTACCTGTCAACCACTATGCTTGGATCTACAGGCCGAACTATACTAAATAATAGGCTTGCTATGAACCTGCTTATATACATTAAAAACCAAGAATTCACTGCCTGGAAATTCTGCGCTTGGGATTTCCGTCCAAGTCGAGGAGTCCCCCCCTCTGGTAACATCTCCTTTAATCTAGTTTAAAGGGACTGTAAGCGTATCTTCAAGTGAACCTATTGCAAAGAAGACAATGCTGGATTCACAACGGCACCCTTAAACCTTTTACCTGATCAATATTGTGTGGAAGACAGTGTCGGTTTTCTTGCTTTAAAAGTGTTTTATTTTCAAAATTCATGTTTTCCTGCAGTGTAAATGCGCAAGTTACTTTTGTATGTAGAGAATACAAAACTGAAAATAATCAGATTTTAAATTTTGTAAACATTGATTTATAATTAATATTTGATCAGACAAATGGTACCCTTGTGAATCGGACATTGACACTTAAGTAATTATGCATTCAGTCTCTTTACAGATTATTGAGATATTTATCTTTATTTATCAAATTACATAAACAATTCACATAGGTGCCCTTAATCAACGGTTCTAGGAGTTAAAATAAGGAAGAAATCTATCTTGAAAATATAATCCTGTCAATTTCATTTTCTGTCTTTAAATGGAGGACCATTTGAAAAAACATAGGCAGACTCTTTATCTAGTAAAGAAATAGGATTAAATGCAGTTTTGGTGATAAGATCTATATTTTTTATGATCTCAGGAGTTTGCATTTGCTCGCTTTCTGGGTAACGTTTTTTTAACGGCTACCTAAGTATTTAATACGTAATATATTTTTGAAATGCTAAAGAGCAGGGTTGTTAATCTATTCTTTTTGAATTTTCTCTAGTAATATGAAAAAGAAAAATCTCAAATCGCTTAAAATTTTTTCAATTAATCCTTTTAAAAAATAAGTTCTGACAAATATCTTTCAAAACACTATATATTTTTTGTATACAGGATGTCCCAATAAACATGGGAATTAAACATTTGAACTGTTACGTTGATTTTTAATAAACTGGAATCTGCACAAATTTCCTAATATGTCTGTCAATTTTGGAGGTAAAAAAATGGTAGACCACATTTTGGAAATCCCGAATCTAGTAATATCCCGGTTAAATGTTTTAACCGGGATATTACAAAATTATAAAAGCTGTCTTTTAATTTCCATCTTTAATGGGACAAACTAAGAATTTAATCAATTACTTCGGGATTTTTATGGTTTTAAAGTTTCCGAATTCAGTGCAGCGCAGGACCAGGCTGGATTTAAGAATGCTTATATAAAAAATGCCCCATAGTTTCACCCTTATTAAAGTGATGCATGCAGTATACACGAAGATAGTGTGATAGAATGATAGTAGAGTGGTGGGCGAATATATTAACACAATGAAGACGACCTTTTATTTAACTTTTGATTGTGAACAAGCTTGAATCAAATTACAAGTTTACAAGTAATTAAAGAGAATCTTTTTAATTGACAGCTTCTTTTGACTTCTATGTTTTTGTATATCCATGCATGCTGTTGAAAAGCTTGATATAAATCAAAGTTGAAATCGAAAACCGTCTTTATTATATTGATATAATCGCCTACCACTGTAGCTTCTAGTTACTAAAAGCCTAGTTTTAAACCAGATCTTGTTGTAATATTGCATGCAGACTCTTCTATGAATTATGCAATGCATATTTTTTTAAATGTCAAAGTTGTAGTTGTTGCAAACAAACAGATCATAACACAAATAAATAAAGAATGTATGTAGAATTGAGCAACTTTTCAGGAAAATTCAAAATTGTACTTTCTCTTGTGTTTTTTTAAAAAGTTTTATGTGGAGTAGATGGATTATTAGTTCTATATAAATGACGTTTTCTTGGTATATAAAATAGTCCAGGGGCGTACAGGGGGCACAAAGCCCCTTTTCGAGAAAATATTGATACATTTTTTAACTATTCGATCATCTACACACTTCCATTTTACAAGTGTTAATACATTTTTTATGTAATTTTCTTAACCTTATAAAGGCTAGAGGGTCTGAATTTATGTATAGAAATGCGCGAGTCACTTTTGTAGTGAAACCACAAATAAAAATAAATAGTTTTCAAAATGGGAAACATGGATATTTAATGCAATACTTGATCAGACAAAGGTTTGAAGGGCATTGTTGTGAATCAGAATATAATTTATTTCTTTTCTTAATCTTTTAGTTCGGATGAGTGCAATGCAATGCAATGTAGAATGAAGATTGCCTGAGGAAGGGAAATGCAAGCAGATGTAATATTAAGAGAGCCCCCTCATGGGTGCCCCCCTTAGAGGGGGGCACGCGTAGGGGCCCCCTCGTACGCCCCTGTACAATCCAATATAAATATCCATGGGTTGGCGTTTAATTCTCTACAATGAAGACAACATTTTCTATTTAAGTTTGGATTTCATAACAAGTTTTTTTTAAAATACAAGTTTACAAATAGATAAAGAAATACTGTCCATTTTTATGTGTATCCATGCAGTTTGAAAGCTTGGTAGAGATGGAAAATTGAAGACGAAAGTCGTCTTCGTTTATTTATATTTATGACGACGATTATAGCGAAAATAATATTCGCTTTACAGGTTACCCTGGTGATTCGGACAAGCCACTCTATCAAAGGCCAGAGGATCAGAAGAAAACCGGGGTTTCTGGCAAAAAGGCATTTGCTATTTTGAATGACCCAATTAACATTGACTTAGTTGTGTCCTTAAAGGTAGAGTGTAGACATAATTACATAAAGGATGTTCAATGTCCTGGTAATATAGGACATCAGGAAGCACTGTCCAATTGACCTCGTAATATAGGACATCAGGAAGCACTGTTCAATGTCCTGGTACCCAAGTAACAATTTCGCGGAAAATCCGCGGAAATTCCCAGGAATCTTTCACAGGAAAATCCGGTGAAAATGTCGACAGCTTTTCCCAGGAATTTCTCGTTACCAATTCCGAGGAACCAGGTCCGAGGAATTTCTTGTAACCCATTCCGAGGAAATTCTCGTAACTCTATACAAGGAATTTCTTGTAACCAATTCTAGGGAATTTCTTGTTACCAATTCTTCAGAAAAACCAGAGAAAATTTGTAGCAAAAAGGTCTTCAGAACCAATTCCTGGGAATTTCCCTGGAACTATTCCCAAGAATTTCTCAAGAATTCCTCAGGAATATCTTGAAATATTCACTAACAAAAGTAGTGAATAACTTATAACAACTATATTGCCCCTCCAACTTTTTAGAAGTATAACCATCTTCTTAAGTCAGAATGTTATAGTCGTTTTTGATCTTACTGAAGTTGTCATGTATTTAGTTTATTCAGACAAGTGAATTGTCAAGAAAAAATAAAAAAAAATGTTTTAAAATTTTTAAATATTTTTTTAAAAGATGGTTCTGAAGTAAATTATCATTTTTTATCAATAAGGATACAAGGAAAAAAAAGATTTAGTTTGAGCAGTGCATAAAAGAAGAGAACCTCAGAGACACCTATTGGTGAAAAACGGAACTTGAAAATTCTGTGAGGAAGTCCTGAGAATTTCTCAGGAATTTCCGGAGAAATATTCCTGAGAAATTCTTAGGAATTTTGTGAGAAAAATTCCTGAGAAATTCTCAGGAATTTCTCGAAACTTATTCTCTTTATGTTAGCCAGAAAAATAATTCCTAAAACCAGTGCTTAGGATCCATTTAATTTTGATGCTGATCTAGATCCTGGATCCGCATTGGAAAAAAAAAGTGTAAACTTTATTTTTATTTTCATTTTGATAAAATGTTAACCAGAAAAATAATTCCTAAAATTAAGATATTTATGTTTTTTTACAAATCGGCAAAATTATATAAAAAATCGTGATATTAATATTTTTATCTTCCTTATGTTTCTAACCATTTTTCTTTGTGTACATTGCAAAAGAAAAGTTTAGGGACATTTTTACGAATATTCTGGTTTTAATAGTTTTTGGCTTTACAGAATCCAGATTCATAAAAAATAAAGCTTTAAAGCTTTGAGATGGTTAAATTATTAGACTTTTTTTTAGGAAACCTGGATATTTTCTTCGTACAGAATCTCAGGATCTCAGGATCAATCATTGATCTCAATTGCATGTGGACCTACAGATTTCGATCGTTCAATGTTCATACCCTGAAGGATTACCTTTGAACCCTCTCTAGCACCCAAATTGTTAAAGTTATCGGTCTAATTTTTTTTCAATGAACTCGGCTATGAACATGCATTTCAATCCTATACCTATTCTTTAAGGGCTTTTTCTAGGGGGGGGGGGGCGCCGAACACCCACCCCCAGGCTTTATAGGGTTAATAGTGGTTTTGTAAATATTTTAAAGTTAAATTCCTCCAACCAAAATAAATATTACAAGTTCTTTTCTCAAAGTTGTTTAAATTTTATGCTCCATCAAATCCAGTTGAAGCAATTTAGATTTCGAAAAGCCTTTAAAAATCGACCTCCTTTCTGTACAGGGGGTTCCTTTCTTCATAAACTGTAGAATCAAAAATAACAAGTTTAACCGTTTTTAAGCTTATTGGTTACAAACAAACAACCAGACAAACACCCAAGCACAGTATAAATTGTTTCCATTAAATCTAAAATTTAAATTATATAGATATGTAGATTGTAGACCTCTTTATATTTGATATTCATTTCAATATAAATTGTTTGAAAAATATTTGTCCAATGTGTTCAAAAATATTGTATAGATCACCCAGACGCTTTGCTTAAGGTCATAAATTTTAAATATGTATTTTGATCCTTCTACAAACTTATTTAATCTCATTAACCCAAATTGTTTTTGGTCATTTAGCAATGTATGATGCTCTTACTGTAAAAGAAATTAACAAATGAGTATATGTTTTGTCCCACCTGTGAAATTAGTGATCAGTTAGTTATCTTAGATGTTTCTATAAGCATTATTTAATTGTTGAATATGATTTTTTTTTAATAATTTTTAATTATTTGATAACAGAATATATTACTTTGAAAAATCGAATTACTTATTGAAGAAGTTTTGGATCCAAAAGCAATAGTTTGGTTTAATGTTTTAGTACTTTCTGTTATAAAGAAGTA